GAGAAGCAGCGAGCGCTGGCTGACAAAGTTGGTCCACGACAGTAACATCCACACGGAGCAAACGTGGCGTACGCTCGATCTCGGAGGCAAAGCTCTGATCTGATTCTTCTCGTTCTCCTCCTCAGGCGGAGGCAATGAAGGAGATGGGCGTGGTGTTCGACAGCTTGGTCCGAGAGCTGGCGGCAATGCGGGAGGCCGCCGTGCAGAGACTGAGCGCCCTGCAGGCTGAACGCGACGAGCTGGAGGACAAGATCAGGCAGGCGGAGGAGGAAATCGAGCAGAAGGTGAGAGCTCACCAGAGAGGACAGCAAACCTCTGTCTGCTGGACGAGGACGCTGCCAGATGTCCTGGGGCCTGACGTAGGGCTGGGCGATGTGACCCAAAATTCATCTCCATATTTTTAGCTGGATGGGGATATACGATATATATCTCAATATTTTTATTTTTTTAATTTAAGCCATAAAGTCAGAACAAACAGTTCTTAGTCAAAGCTGTGTCCCAGATGTCACAGGGGCACTTTTATTAACAAACAGCGTAGATGTTCATGAAAAAAAAATTACTCAAATTATCAGCATTTATTAAATAATAATGCTCCATAAATAAAAGAAAACTGTTGTTTTTGTGCATAACAAAGAGCTCACAACTGTGCAGTCAAAATGTAAACTAACAGACGCCGAGCATAATAACAAGCAGCTGCTCTGTTCCTAACTTCTACTGCGTGACTGACAGCCTGGAGTTTGAAATCCTCTTCGTAACCACGTCTCTGAACAGGTGCCATTTATGGTCCTTATACGCACACAGTACAGTAATATTACATTGAAGCACAGTACGTATCACTCGGCGAGGCTCCTCGGTAGCTGTAATGCTCCAACAACCCATCAGGTGGTGCAGCTCCGTAGCTTAGCAAAGTCGTGCTGAAACATTTTTGACAGATTGCTGAGCGCCGTGTAGCACATAAAATTGGTTTGCAGTCATCAAGCACAACCAGAATTCATACATAAGACGCGCTGTCAACTTTTGAGAAAATGAAAGCATTTTAGGCCGTGCAGCCTCTCTGGGCTGCAGCCTGGTTAACTCGCTAACGGAGATTTGCCGTGTCCATCTTGTCGTCGCCTGCAGGTGAAGTTATGGGGGAGGGGGAGTAACGCAGCATAGAGGCAAACTTGCGGCTCCACAAGTATAATTATAACACAACATAGACTATATCGATATAAACGATATTGTCACTTCTTATATTTGGTATAAAAATATATCGATATTTATAAAAAAACAAACAACTCTATATATCGCCCAGCCCTAGCCTGAAGCAGACCGTTAACTTTGGACCTGTGATGGTTTCAAGCCCAGCAGCACTGATCTGTAGTGGTTTTCGCTTCCATTTTTAAAACCACTTCAACAGCATTCAATGATCTGTTTGAGCATGAGGTGCAGTCGGCGCACATTCAGCCTGTCTGCAGCCTCAACAACTCAAACAGGCGGAGATTTAAAGTTAGAATAACAGTGCACGGGATACATGACAAGGATGACGACAGATTCTGAAGTTGATGGGTGTGATTTGCATCGTGCCTCGTTTGTTCTGCCCTCGTGTGGCACAGTTTCATGCATTAATAAAGGCAGATAAACCTGTTACATCTGAGTGTTCACGCGCTGGCTGGTTCTGTGGGTCGGGTGTTTCTGACACTGCTTCCGTTTGCTTCGGTCAGGATATGAAGGAGACCATCCAGTGCCTCCAGGACCAGCTTAACCTGCTGACTGTGAAGGTCAAGAAGAAGTTCACTGGTCTGTACTCGGCCTCCAGAGGCCTGCAGAAGCCTCTGCAGAGCCTCCAGGAGGACATCAGCAGGTGAGTCGAGCACTAAACGGTCATGTTTTTCTTCTACTGCACGTCAAAGTTCATTGAAACATTGAAACCTGCATTGAAACCGTGTCTTTGTGGCAGAGGCTGCAGCACAGTCGAGCACCAGGTCTCGGCCCAGGCGGACCTCCTGTCTTCCTCCGCCTCCTCCCTCGTCTCCTCCCTGTGTCTGACCGCGGACGAGAGCCGGCAGTCTCTGGAAGAGATGTCGGGCTGCTGCTCCCACATCCACAGCTCCGTCACTGGTACAAACTCTTCCTCTCCTCTGTTGCTGCTCGCTGTAATCCCTCATCCACAGCACGCTCAGTGTGTTTGTGTCCCTGCAGGCCTGTTGGAGCGTGACCTCGAGTGGAGCTCCAGAGTGAAGGAGCACGCTGAGAAACGAGCCGAGGAGCACCTCACGCTGATGAGGAAGGTTGGCTCTGAAGCTCAGGACCTGCGTCAGGTGAGAATTCGAGGTTTTCTGTCCTAACCCCAACACAGAGCAGACCCTCAGTTTAATACTGTAGAGACACGACCGTCATATCTTATTACCAAACCCGACGACTCTGAACTCAGTAAAAGTGCCTCCTGTCCCGCAGAGCGTGGAGGATTGCTGCTCCGAGCAGCTGCGAGCAGCCAAGGCCGATATATCCAACCAGCAGCAGGAGGTGACGCGAGCTCTGACGACTGTCAAGGATCAGACCTCCGTCGACTGGAGCGTCCTGGAGGAGCAGCGGGCTGAGCTCCTGCAGCACGTGGAGGCGAGCGAGCAGCTGGTCCACAGCTTCCTGCGGGACGAGCTGCAGGAAGACGTTCCCACTGGTGACAGATTTATTTTTCTGCCTTGAATTAAAAGTTAAAGTTCTCAGCAGGACATTAACCTCCTGTTGCCTTCAGGTGCGACTCCTCAGCGGCGGGAGTTTGTGTATCCCCGTCAGCTGGTGAAGTCTCGCCGCCGCAGCGAGCTGCTGGAGAGCCTGAGGAGGCAGCAGGAGGAGCTGCAGGCCGCCATGGAGGCGGAAGAGGAGGAGGAGCTGGAGGAGGAGGACAAGCAGACTGACCCGGTGAGTTTCAGAACATTTATCTTGGAGCTGTGATTCATTTTCATTTAAATGTAAATAAACGTGATGTTTGGCCTCGTTCTTCTCTGCTGCATCATCAGGACTCGCTGGAGGATGATCTGAGCACGTGCAACGAGAGTCTGGCCACAGAGCCGTCCTTCATCGACGAGAACCTCGTCTTCAATGAGAGCAAGCGGGTCCCCTTCTTCAAGGTGAGGGGGAAGTTTGAAGCCGTGCAGCTGTTACTGAAAAAGCTGCTGAAGCAGCGACTGGGGGTCAGAGGTCAAGTGTTTAATACCAATGCACATTAAAGCTTGTTTTCATTCCTCTTTTCCAGAAGAAGAAAGGCAAAAAGGAGACGAAGATCCCGTCCCGGTCTAAAGTGTCGGAAAACGAAGCGGAGTCAACGCCTCAGAAATCCAGACTGCCGCTCCGCTGTCAGAACTGAAACCTTATTTCTCTTTATTTTTAATAACTTTATTACTGTTTCTTCTTTTTTCTGACCTCTTTCATCTTAAACGTGTCCTCATGAACTGTTTTATTGTGGTTTGTGTCTCAGCACCTGCAAATTGTTTGTAAAATTAAAGATTTATTCTTGTTTTATTCTGCTGTTAATTATTCCATCTGCCACACTCAGCCAGCTCATCGGCTTTGTCCTCGGTTATGACGTCAGCACAGGACACGTGTGGCTCTCCTGGTTAGACGTTATGAAATGTGGCGTGGAGCGATGGCGGGTAGAGTGGGTTCAGCAAAACCACGAAGAGTTCAAATGTTTTTGTCGGGTGGGCTGGAGGACACTGCAGCCTGTGAGGTTTCTTTGGTTTCTGTGCTGCTTCATGATGTTTCACTATTTATGTTTCGTGGCCTCGACAGATGAGCTCACGGCAGCACGCCGTGTCTTTAACGCACACAGCCAGAACGTGGAAAACATTCACGTTTCCACAGGGACTCTGAGTAAACAGGAGCCCGGTGCTGATAGTCGTTCATGGACTCCTGCTGATGTGAGCGTCTGTATAAAAGCAGAAGTTGTGGGAGTTCACAGGTGGAGACAGCAGCTCCCGGCAGTTTTGAGTCCTCATTCATAAGTGGACATCCCAGCAAATATACCGTGACGTCAGACTGCGCATGCTTAGAGAAACCAAAGAAAAACCCCGAGAATTCCACGAGTGAAAAAGAAGTCTGTCTGGTTTATGTTTTGAGAGGAAAGCACCAAAGTTTACTGCGGTTTTCCTCTGATGACGTCATTGCGGAATTCCCCCACTGATACGCTGCTTATCTCTGAAGTGCGCGTGCTTGTTGAGGGCGAGGTGGTACTGTCGCTGACCTTGTCCTGTTTACAGTAATATTTGCACTGCTTATATACACGATATACAAATATATTTATATTAGTATGTCGTGTGCGCGTGCGGAAGAAGAAAAACGTTAAATGATGGAGTTTGAAGTGTGAAATAAAACAATTGTGAATAAATGAGGTCATGTGACCGTGATTATAGTTTGAGCTGCTGTGTTGGCCGGTGTTGTGCCAAAAAGTGATTGTCTGCCAAAAACTGATTTCCGGTATTTGCCAAAAAGCGATTGCTCATATTTAAAGTGCTATAAGTAACTTGTTGGGCTATAATATGTTAAACATATGTCAAATGCATCCCTTATGGATGACATAAAGTCATCTTGAGCCACAAACAACATTCGTGTAACAAGATACAAGCCGCAATCAGTTTTTGGCAGCGACTTTTATATAACCTTTATTTATGCAGTAAAAAAAATCTCATTAACATTAAAAATGTATTTTGTAAGAGTAAGTTGCCCAACAGGACAGCAGAAACGGCAGCAAATATTACAATAGTTCTGTAAAAATATTTTAAGTGGGGATAAAGGACCGGATTGGTTATAATGTAAGTACAAGTTGTAAAGATACTTAAAAAACAGATAATTTTTTTATTCTTTATGTAACCCCTTTGTATCCCCTGTTCACTGAAGTCTATTTACGAACATACGTAAAGATATTACACATAAAAAATACACAGAAACACTGGAAATCAGTTTTTGGCAGACAATCACTTTTTGGCACGGTATTTTGTAGCTCTGAGGTCGGACGGAAAGCACCCAGAGTTACTTTCGGTTTGTTCCTTCATTTGTTGTTGTGGATTCTGGACGAGCTCATTCTCTCAGTGTCAGGTGTGGAGGTGGGAGCTGATGTCCGTGTTTTTCTGGATATGAGGAGAGTTTCTCTCTTTCTGTGCTCGCTCTGTTTTTCCTGCTCTGATCTGTGAACATGGAGCGATCAGCTGATCTCTGCCTCCTCTCTTTGCTGCTCCTGGCCGTGCCCTGCTTCTCCCAGCCCGGGCTTATTCAGGCATACTTTCGGCTTGGAGACGCCCTGGTTCTGCAGCCTGTGCCGCCGGTCACTAAACGCATCACCAGCGTGGTGTGGAAACGCAACCACGACCTGCTGGCCGAGTGGGCGGAGGGAGAGCGTGAGGTGAGATACTACGGAAGGTTGAGAGGCCGGTCAGAGCTCAGCACCGGGACCGGACGCCTGCGCGTCAGCGCTGCGTCTGCAGAGGACGCTGGAGTGTTTTCAGTGGAGATCAACAACGAGCCTCAGAGCGAGCTCTACAGAGCTGCAGCCGTGGATGAGGTGCCCCAGCCTGAGGCCTTTGTGACACCTCTGGCCTGCAGTCAGGCCTCCTCTCGGTGTTTACTGCACTGCTATGGACACACTGCAGACACTGAGGACATCACCTACTACTGGAAGATGGGCGATGGAGAGTGGGAGGAGTCAGAAAAGAAGATAGAGATCCTCAATGTTAATGAGCTGCACCATGTGAGAACTTTCTCCTGCAGGATGAAGGACCCAGTGAGTGAGAAAGACAGCGAGCCCATCAATAATCCTTTTTACAGACACAGGAGCCCACCTGACTCTGCAGGGTGGACAGGTGTGGCGGTCACTGTGGGCGGAGCTTTTGGAGCTGCAGCCCTGGTTTCTGTGGCTCTGTTTGCATTTTGTCAGAGAGAATTTATCCAGAAGACCATTAAGAAGCTCGAAGGCAGGAATTCTGTCCCACAGATGTCAGCGACGTGTAACTCTGTGTGAAGCGTCATCAGCCTGGGTTTGTTGTTTGTGCGTTAGAAACTGTGACCTGCTGCAGGAGAGACACACATGCAGATAAACTCACGGCAGCATGAATGTTTGTGTTATTTAACAGCCTCCTCTGTCTGAGCAGGAACTCTGAACTGTTCAGTGTTCTAGTGAAAAGAAACTGCTCAACTACCAGTAACAGATTTTTAATATCAGTGAGATTTTCACCTGGATAAATAAAGGAATAAAAAAATCTCCTTGTTTTCTGTCCTCTGATTCTTCTGGAGCAGCTTTGCATGAGTCAGAGCCTCAGCTCTGAGCTGCTCTCAGGTTGCTCCCCATCATAGTATGTTTGTGAATGTTAGATGAAAAGCACTAGAGCATAGAAAGAGGCTGTGAATGAGGCAGCTCTGATGGCTGTCCAGGACCAAACAGCTGGTCCACAGCTGACCAGTGTTTGATTCAGCAAAGGTCAGAGGTCACTGAACAGACTTCTCTCCATCATGGACTGACTATCTATCTATCGATCTATCGATGGGGAATAATAATAATAAACCTCTAAGACAAATCAAAAACATTGGAACCTAAACCACAGATCATAACAGGCGAACAGCATATATGATACAGTGTTACAGTTCAGCATCCACAAAAACAAGGATTTTAGAAGGTCTTACAGCATCATCTGTCCTTCAGCAGCCAGTTTCATTAATAACAAGCGCATGAAGTCATTATGTCACTTAGCCATTCTGAAAGAGTTTAAATTAATTTTAATAATAATTTATAATTCCACTGCACAGCTTTACACATTTTGTAAAGATGTTTCTGTCATGGATACGGGAGAGGAGAGGACCCAAATACAGGGCACTAGCCTTCTTCTCATTATTATTAAGCTGATGGCAAAAAATAAATAAAAAAGATATGAACAGACTCCACAGGAAGCAGACACAGAACAGGCCCTATGTGCAAAGATTTACAGGAACACATTCAGGCAGGAGAGGAGGCTTTTGTCATGTCTGGGTGGGTACCTGCAGGTTTCCAACAGCAGCCCTCCTCCTTTGGGCGGAGATCGGTTGCTCCTCCCTGGCTGACCACCTGTGGGCAATTATTCCGGCAGCATATAAGACCTGCACACTCAATCAGTCATCGCCTGAGTATCTGATATCCCATGTTAGTCAGTGGTGTGTAATTGCTGTGTCCAGATCCTGTGTGAAAATGTTCTTGTCTTCAGAGTTGGCTCCTGGAGTGGGCTTCTTGCCTCAGTTATCCCCGCTTTTCTGGACCTGGGCCACCAGCTGCTGGTACAATGTTGCCAACTAGCCTACCTTTCACCTGCCTGCCTCCCCACGCCTCGACCTCATGCGGGCCTCGCGCCCCACCTGTCCCCTCCACCTGAAACCAAGTAAGGCAACTCAGTTTAACTGTGAAGGATCGCTGACTGACTGCTGGACCCCTCTGACTGTGCTCTCCTCTCATTACAGCGCCCCGGTCACTTCATAGTACTTTTCCGGCCCAGTTTTCTCCTCCCCACTGCCACAGCTGTTCTGCTGCATTCTAGAACTGTCTAGTTTACCTTTAGTTGACTTGGTTTTGACGGCGCGCCCACTAGTTAGTGGCGTCGTTTTGATTTGGCTTGTGTTTAATTGTGGGGAGAAATGAACCTTTTTTTCACTCACTGTCTCGCTTCCGGTTTGGAACTTGTGTCCATCCCATTTACCTCATGTGACAGCTTTGTTCTTTAATCTCTGAATAGAAAACCAGAAAACCATCTATGCTTTTCTTATTGTAAATATTAAATTCACCCTGAACACTCCCTGCAGTCACTGCGGATGAACGGAAATACAGACATGTTTATGTTTATAGGTAAACATAAACATATATTTACATATAAAAATAAATACATGTATGTATTTACATACACATTCTGTCCCTAAGGAGCACATAGGTTTCTTTCCTATGTGAGAATTCAAACTGCTCTGATCGTGGTTGCAACACTTCGGGCACCCGTGGAGGTCAGACACCTCCCGGTGGAGCCTGTGTGTGTGTGTGTGTGTGTGTGTGGGGGGGGGGGTTCTCGGGGTTGCTGTCAAATTGTCGCTTTTATTCTTTAAGACTAATTTAGTTCTTAATACAGACGTTATGTGGCTACAGACAAACCATTTTACAATAAGTGCGGGACAATAGGACCGAGGCCTACTTTAGAGTTACTTTCACTTTCTAAGGAAACTCGATTCCGTGCTTTTCAAAATAAAGCCGTGTTGCGTCGCTGTTCTGCTTCATTGCACATATAATACATGAATTGTCATGTTAATAATATAAATACAATATCAGCGAGGATTGTTTTGACTGCAGCAATAAAGCAGTAAAACCTCAAACAGCGCCTCTGATAAACTCTTCTTTCAGCAGTGTTATATAGCTGTAAAAATAAGCTGTTTGCCTCTTTCATCTTCTTTCATCTTCGCATTCAGGTTGCTTTCTTCTCCTCGTGGTGCTGAGGCGTTAGTTTGAGTGTTGTATTCACCTGTGTTGATCACTTTCACCTGCGAGCCTTTAAGGATTAGGAAGGGAAACCATAAATCCCATGGACAACAGTTGGATCCAACTTTATACAACCGAGGCGAGTTTTTGTTACTGACTTTCACCTCACAGATCTCCAAATTAACTTTGACACTTCTGACAAAGAAAAGAAAAAAGTTATTAATTTATTGAGAAATATTACAAAATTAACAGATGTTTAATTTATCACCGAAACTGGTTAGAATATATGGCTTTAAATCAATGACTGTAGAAATAGGTTGAAATGCTTCAGGAGTATTTTATTGTGCTTTTATTATGAAAAAAAAAGTTTCCGCCCTCAGTAGGGAGGGACGCAGCAGGTTTGAGACATTTTGCTCCACAGGAAGAGAAGGGCGGAGGTCTGTTTCTTTATCAGCGACTCAAACCCCCTCACGTTCGTCGGTTTTTACTGACCTGCCTGAAAAGATTTCGACGAGTGAGTTTTTATTGATGTGATCATCGATACTCTGTCACTCCTGTATTGATCAGTGGACATGGGTCGGTCTGTGGTTCTCGGAGCGGTGCTGGTGCTGCTGGTGGCTAACGTTAGCTTCTGTCAGGCCGAGACTGTGGAGGAGTACTTCAGGGTTGGTGGCACACTCCAGCTCAGCCCTCAGCCGGTCGGTGGAGCGATCACCAGCATCGTGTGGAAATACGGCAAGAACCTGCTGGCTGAGTGGGAGACAAAGCAGATTCCTCTGACATATTACAGCAAGTTTAAAGGCCGAACCACTCTGAACACTGGCACAGGAGAGTTGGAGATCAGGAACATGACTGCGGCGGACAATGAGGTGTATACAGTGGAGATCAACAACCACGTCCAGAGTCGGGTTCATAAGACTGTGGCGATCGAGGATGTGCCCCAGCCTGTGCTGGAAGCGAAGCCGCTGTCGTGTAGCTCAGCCTCAAAGGACTGTAAACTGGTGTGTGAGGGAAACGTTAGCAAAGCCGGGCCTGTGGAGTACTTCTGGAAGAAGGATGATGGAGAGTGGGAAAAGTCTAAAGAGAACACCATGGAGATCATCAATGATGCGGAAACACAGCGTGTGAAAAAGTTCTCCTGCAGAATAAAGAATCAGTTTAGTGAGAAAGAGAGCAACGCCTTAGACAATCCTTTCTACCGGGAGGAAACGACCAAGGAGCCATCTTCACCTGGTTCGGGGGTGATTGTGGGGATTGTTTTAGTCGTAATCCTATTGGTAGCTGTACCTATACTGCTCTACTTTATTTGGAAACCATTCAAGAACAAGGTTGATTCTTGTTTGCCCTGCAAGAAATCAACAAACGCAGCAAACGCAACAACAACTGAGACTAATATGAATGAGAAGGGAGAGATTGATGCACTGACCGCTGAACAGGACACTAGACAGTGATGCTGTGGCCATATTATTCATAAAATATGAATGAAATGAGAAATGTTTGATTTCCACAGCTGCCTGCATCTGGAGAGAGAAGGAAAATAATCCTGCAGTGTACAAACTGTCAGTTTATGAAGAAGTAATTTTATCTTCATACTGAAGTAATACCATCAGTACCACAGCTGGGAAGGACAGTTACAAGACGTGTATAAAAGTGTTCTTAAGGTGGATCCGTCCTGCTCATGTTTATTCTCTGAATCTTTTATGGTGGCTTTGCATGATTCACAGGTCAATAATAATCCTTTATGTACTAACCCTTCATTTCATCCTCTGCCTGAAACAAGCAGACTAGCTCCTTTTTTACAGGTATGATAAAAGCAGAACAGATCCACTCTGAAACATAAAATTATGACAATGCCAGAACAGTAAAGAAATGTGATGTTTGAGTTCAGTGCAAAGTGGAATGAGTGCTGTTCGCTAAATTCAATCATGTTGTGAGGCAATCATTTAATCATGAACGTGTACATCGCTGTGTTAAAGCCCTGATAACTTACATTCAATGATGTTTTGTAAATGTGTGCTGTTGTTAGCTTTGTTTTTAGCATATTTTAGTGGCTTCATCCTTGAGGACAAACATGTGCAGAACTGTTTCAGAAAGTGGAAAAGGACGTTTGTGACGTCTGTGCACGTGCAGCGGTCACATGTTATGGAGGCAAAGTGAGAAAAAGGTGCCTTTTAATGTCCCGTCACAGCCGCGGAGGCTGAAGGGCACACTGGACTCACTGTGTTGGATCACGCATGTTTAAATCCACTCTGGAGCCCTGCTTCTCTGCACCTGAGAGGATGGAGGACGTTTTATGAAGCTCATCTCACAATCATGTACTCCTGTAATGCCCGACATGGCTTTATAGGACATGGCTCTACACTCTGTGCGCCCTTTTTACTTTTTTTTTTTTTTTAAAGTTTGTCTTCCGACTCTGTCGTATCAGCTTCTTTACAAATTGGCAGTTTGATTATTTATTAGAAACTGGTGCCTTTCAAAATAAACCTGGCAGTGCTACACAGACTCATGGTGTGTTATTTTACCTCCCAAAATCCGAGCGCGATAAAATGGCCGCCCGGCTCAAGCGAAGCCGGAAGTGCGCGGTGGAATATTAGCTTGCGCAGATCCTTCCTCTCAGGAACGCGCACAGCTGCATGAATGTCTCACCTGTGATGGATTTAGAAGACGCTTTGAAGCTCGTCGGAGAGTTTGGGCCCTACCAGAAACGAGCGGTGGCTGTCCTCGTCCTGACTCAGGTGAGCGGATGTGAAAATTAGCGTTTAGTTCGCGGGAAATGGCGGCAAGTGTGCGCGCAGTAACGTAGTAGCAGTTAGCTTGAGTAGCGCATACGTGGCTTTCAGGGATTTAACTGTGGACCCTCAACAAAACGACACATTTATGACTTAATTTAACACATTTTTTTATTACGGTTTCATTACTATAACACTACAACATCGAGCTGTAACTACAAGCTCACATTTTAGCGATGTGCAGAAGGGCTGCTTTTCCAGGCAGTGAAGTGCTCTCCAGATTGCCTGCAAGAAACTACTAAAATAATGTTTCCTTGTGTCATGTCAAGTTGCACTTTACTCCTAGTCATATTTTGATTTTCTTTAGATATCTATTCCAGCCACCCTTTAATTCGGCCAAGTATTTAAATCGTAGCTAGCCTTTTTATTGCCGCTGTGATTTGGCTACGCTAACGGGCACCTGTTATTTGTTTTACATGATTATTCAACCAAAATGGCGCAGACACAGCTCAAACAAAAGCCGACTCTTTTCTAAGCACCTAAAATATCCCAGTATAGAAAAATATCTCCACACTTTGATATATAGTTACGTAAAAACCATTTAACGACGGACTAGATTTTTTTTAAAGTGGAGTTTGGTTTAAGCGTTAATCTAACCCTCCATCTAGCTAGATGTACTTCAGTTTACTCAGGCTTGAAGAAAAACAGTTTCTATTATTTTGACAGGATTTATTTGAGGACCGACGTTAATGATTTGCACTGATTAAGCTGACATACCTGGTATGATGCTTGTATAGGATATGTCCATATATTGTTTACATTGATAGTTTTTTTTATTGTGCTTCACAGATTTTTCAGTTAGCCATATCACATTCCTTTTAAAAGCCATCCCTGTGTTCATAAGTGTGTGTTACAACTGGGAGGGCCCGTTATTTTCACCTGTGTAAGCAGGGACATTACCCCTGTGTGACTCAGGTGTCTAAGATGAATGCAGTCAGGTTTCGGTCCTTCTATGTGTGAACAGTTTTAACCCCACATTAACAAAGCCTCTAATTTTTATAAAAAGTCTGCATGTGATGACCCCAGACTGTGTGTCTGTTTGTTTCAGGTGTACATGGCCTGTCAGTCCATGCTCATCGTCCTGGTTGGTTTTACACCGGAGTACCGCATCGAGCATCAGCAGCAGGACGGCGTCCCTGTGAGCCAGCACGTCACCTTTACAGAGAACGTCGACTCCATCGTGACTGAGGTGAGAGCGGCAGACTCCTGCAGGATGCTCATCCGGCTAACCTGAGAGCCCACAGGTGAAACCTGCCTCCTGTCTCTGTGTTTCCTCAGTGGTTCCTCATCAAGCAGCAGGCCTACAAGGTCAGCCTCGCCGGGTCGCTCTTCTTCGCCGGGCTCCTAATCGGGAACGTCGTCTTTGGGCCTCTCTCGGATAAGATTGGCCGGAGACCCGTTTACCTGACAGGTGAGGTTGAGGCTGATGACAGTTGCATTGTTCATGAATACGTCTGTGATGTTAGTGAGCGTTAATGTTTTGCTGTTTATAGGTTTGCTGTGTTTGTCCCTAAAGCTTGAAACTCTTGTTTTTCCTCTCGTAGCCCGGAGGCCACAGTTTTATGACTGATAATAAAATGACATCATTCAGTGCGCGTGGCTGCGTAAACTGCTCGCTGACCCTGCGATTAATTTTTGGGTTTTTTAGGCTTCGGGTTTTGTATCACTCTGCTTCCTGTGGGAGGCCGGGCCCTGCACCAGCTACAGATTTCTGAGGGTTTCTTTAATCGCCTGCCAGACTCTGAAGCATCTGCTTGAAGATGTTAGAGATCTTCAAATGCACAAAGATAAATAATTATGTAGTAAAAGAGAAGGTTATCAGTCTACACAGGCGTGCTTCTTTTCTCGCATGGCTGCAAACCAACAGGCAGCTCACAGGACGTTAAACTTTATTTATAGAGCTCCAGTTTACAGCGACAGTGTTTTTCAGCTGTGTTGTGTTGTTAGTGGCTACAGTGAGAGACGGTTTGTTGGATTTCTCTGTGTTCACCTCAAAGCACTTTGAGCCAACAGCTGTTGTGTTGCTTTGTAAATTAAATTGAATTGGAAAAAGCAGAGAGCTGCAGCTGTCATAAGTTTTTGTAACTAATTTGTCTCAAATGTATCGAGTCTTTAGGTTTGCATTGTTAGGGGCGTGGCCTCTTTGACTGACAGGTAGCTGCTAGCTGTGTGCTCGGCTTCATCTCGGCTAAGAGTCCCTGAACTGGACCTGGACACAAATGTTTTGAACGAGCTCACATGTTACTGAGCACGACTGAGATAAAGGAAGAAACAGGAAGTGAAAGTCAGTCGTGTTATAAACTGGCACATTTTGAAGAGAGTTTGAGTTATTTTCTATTTGTTTTTGTTTTTTTTCGGTGATTCTCCAAAAATCTGTCAGAAATTTAATGTAATCTTTGATTGCACATCTGTTAACGACTAATCGACCACGGCTTCATCTGAAAATCACGAGATCATTAGTCTTTGATCTTTATTTTCATGAATTTGGCTGCAGACTCTGTCCTCGGTGCCACAACAGGCCAAAAATCATTAAACTTTTGTGGTCTCCTGCTCGTTGTGCCTCAGTCCGATTGTGTCAGTGCTGCTCATACGGTTCTGTTTTAAAACTAAGATATAGAAGCGTTAAATCTGAATTTTTGCCAGAGGATCTGCTGCCTCGAGTCAAACGAATTCTTCTGTTTCTTCGGAGGCTTGTTGGACGTGTCTGCACATGACGACATACATTAAAATCCTTTAAATTCCTCCTCATCCTCATCTCTCGTGTGTTTCTCCTTCTCCCTGACTAAATGTTGTCCCTCTCCTCCTCCACCTCCTCCTCCACAGGCCTGTTCTTTGAGGTCGTCTTCGGCTATGTGACCGCCTTTGCGCCCAGCTATGAGGTCTTTGCTGCCTCTCGTTTCCTGGTGGGGCTGATGAACGGCGGCATCGGACTCGTTTGCTTCGTCCTCACGCAGGAGTACGTGGGCAAGTCCTACTGGGCCATGACGGGTAGGAAACCACCGGCACGGTCACATTATTTACTTGGCAGGGCTTTAATTCTAGGTGTTAAAGATTAATAATCTCGATCCCTCGTCTTCCTTCTTTCAGGGACGCTGACCAGCATGACGTTTGCCGTCGGCATCGCCCTGTTCGGCGCCCTGGGCTACTTAATCCAGCCGTGGAGGAGCTTGGCGACGGCGGCCAACTCGTCCGGCGTGCTCTTCTTCCTGCTGTCTGTGTGAGTACCCACCCCAGAGAGACAAGTCGCCCCACACAGCCACGAAAAACCAGTAAAGTTTGTGTTGGATGTTTGGAAGCATCAGGGCGACGTCATAAACACACAGAGCTCGTGTTCTCCTGGGATTTAAACCAGGAAGGTTAACAGTTTATTGACACGCTCAGCTTTATAGTGTTAATCTGTAAACACCACAGAGAGAACAGGCATCCAGGCTCTGCACACAAAGGCTGTGAAGCTTCCAGCTACAGCTCTGATCGTGGAGACTGATGGTCCAAACGGGTTCAGGCACTGTCAGGGCGCCTCCCTTTGGAGGTTTTCCAGCTGCAGCCAATGGGAGGAGACCCTGGGTTAGACTGGGAGAGATGACATGCATCTTGCTTGGCCTGCGATGAGCTCCGGACCCTCCTGCAGGAGCTGGAAGTGTGATTTAGGATGAATGTAAGGAATGTGGATGGAAAGGTTTCATACAGAGGAGGGAGGGAGGCTCCGTGTTATAAATACACTGGGAATCGTGCACAAAGTGTGGATCTTGTATTATTATGTTTGAGTTTTTGATCAGCACCAGATGGGTTTTTTTCCTCATCACTGTGGAAAGGTGTTTACATTAATGAATCTGTGTGAAATAAATGCTTTGGCTGTTTCTGATTGTGACATTCAAATGTTTCTGCACTCGCTGTGTATGTAAAATGAACCAAACACACCCAGTGATGTCTTCCTCTCGTCCTCTGTGGTTGCAGCACTCTTCCAGAGTCCCCTCGTTGGCTGTACTCCCAGGGCCAGGCGGAGCGAGCTGAGGAGGTAAACACGATGAAGCATTCCTGAGCCGCTCTGTGAGAATCTCCTGGGATTTAGAAAAATGCACCTCTGCATGTTTGTGTGAATCACAGATATTTAAAACTGAGAAGCTGAAAATGTGTGAACAGACCCTCCTTTACTCTGTTCATCAGGTGCTTTTAAATGTTTCAGTGAGCTGAGAAACCAGCTTTTAGCCTCAGTAAGCTCTCCAAAGGTTGGAGTCTGAAGCGCTTGTGATTAGATGTTTTCTCCTCCTACACTCAGAGGAGGTTTGGGCGAGGACGCTGATATCGTCTGACCTCAGTGGGGAAAAACCAGCAGGAAGCAAAAGGAGGGAGAATGAGGGGTTTGACAAAGGCCTGCACAGTGTTAGAAACAGCAAACAGAGGAGAGCTGTTCTGTCGAGGGAGAAAAGTTAGCTTTAAGTGTGAATGGATTCAATGCAGATAAACCTGCAAAGCTGCATTTGATAGAACTGCAGGTTCGAATCCTGACACTTTCCCTCTAAAGACTGGAGAGAAGTGCGAGCTAAAGTAAAGTCACATCAATCGACCCGTTGGGTCTGCGCGTCCCGTTTCCTTTGCTCACTTTCAGGAACACTGAGCATCACGTGGCTGATCCTGGGTTCTGCTTTGTAGGTCCTGCGTTTTATGGCGAGCAGGAACGGCAACGCCGTGAAGCACCTGATGCTGCAGCGCGTTGGCGTCTCTAAAGCCGGTAACCACAAAAGCCGAGGCGCCGGCGTCCTGCAGCTGATCATCCACCCGGTGCTCCGCCTGCGCACGATGGTGCTCATGTATGTGTGGTGAGTATAAGGAGAGATGTTGGAGCGTTTAACCCTCGACTGACTTTAGAGGAACTGCAGCTCGGAGCACTTTTAATACCGCATAGGTTTCTCCTGCTTTCATGTCCTATTTAATTACTAACTATAATTTTAGAGTTTGGATGTGTTTTTATAAGTTGAGAGTCAGGAGTGAAGCGCACATGTTGGCTCTTTTGTTTCTATGTAACTTCTGGGATTTAAACCCTGCACTTCCTGTTTTCTAAACCGGCGCTGCGACTGCGTACGAGCGTTTGTGACGGCCGTCCTGAAATTAACTTTTGTAGTTCTGCTGTAAATTTGGTCATTTTAACGTTGCAGGACTGAGTTTAAAAGTAAAGTCTCAGAAACTGTTTCTGCTCCACATCAGCTGATCAGAGTTAGTTCAATTAACTGCGAGTTTATTTCCCCCGATTTAAGCACCACCCTGGGATCTGACCCGGACATGGTTCAATTCAATTCAGTGTTATTTATACAGCGCCATATCACAACAACAGTCGCCTCAAGGTGCTTTACATTGTAAGGTAGATCGTACAATAATACATACAGAGAAAACCCCAACAATCATTTGACCCCCTATGAACAAGCACTTTGGCGACAGTGGGAAGGAAAAACTCCCTTTTAACAGGAAGAAACCTCCAGCAGAACCAGGCTCAGGGAGGGGCGGGGCCATCTGCTGTGATTGGTTGGTGTGAGAGAAGGAAGACAGGATAAAGACATGCTGTGGAAGAGAGACAGAGATTGATAACAAGTGTTTACTGACCCGTCATGGAGGCTGTGACACTTTGGGGCGGATCTGGTTCTGGGTGGAGCCTCTGAGGAGGACTCAGGTCATTTTCAGACTCAGACTGTGGCTGTTAAACGTTTGACATGATTTAATGAGTGAAATGTAATCAGATTACAATCAGACCATCTACAGGATACGTTTTAAGTAAGTAACAGCCTCATCTTCACTCAAATGTTCCCATGAAAGATCCAGCAGTGCCACATTTTTCCATCAGTGTGACTGCTTAGGAACAAATTATTGATCAGTGATGGGTTTATAATAACGAGTCTGCCGTGTGCTCGTACATTTGGAATGATGTCCACACCCACACAGCTGTGACGGTGCCTCCTTTAAATCTTTATTAAAGCATTTCTTCTCCTTGGCGTTCGGCTCCAGCGTGACATCGTTTATTCTCTGCTTTGACTTTTAAACCTTTTTGTCCCATTTTATTTCTTGTTGTTTTATTGTTGCTCTATAAATACATCTGACCTCGTCCTCATCTCAGGGTCACACTCAGCGTTTCCTGGAAGTCGCTGCTTGATGACATCCTGCAGGTGTCAGAGATTATGACTCATGAGCACAGGGTTGCTGGTTTAAATCCTGCTGCTATGAACAAACACAGTGAGTGGGTGATAGTTGATAAGTTGAGTAAATGCATCCCTGCACAGACGTTTCTTGTTCTTTTAGTTTGTGTGTGAGCTCTGGTGTCGGTCTGTATTTCAGGCTCGGTAACGTCAGTGTCGCTGTGACTGACGCTCATATTTTTATCACTTCTATCATCATCATGCTGCTGATACTGAAAGTGCTTCTGTTTCCACTGCAGTGACTGAATATTCTGTTTCAAATACGTGCTCTCTGCTGTCAGCACAGGCCTGGAAGTCTTCTTCAGGGCTTTCTGTCCTCCTGTTATCTCCTGAGGAGCTGATGTGATTGGGTTGCTCTTTGTTAATGTCATCCAAACCCAGAGTGCTTTCTCCTGGATAATCTGCTGCTCCACAAAGGAGGTTGTTCATTTGTGATCTTTTGTCCAAGTTTAGGTTTTCTTCCTCGTATCACCAACATCTACTTTCATCTGCAGAAGCTTCATCGTCAGCCTGTGTAATCCATTCAGAGTTATTCCATCTGCATTAGAGATGAACTCAGATGTCAGGGCATTAAAGCTGGTATGGACCCCGTTTACAGGTCACCGTCCTAAAGATCAGCTGATCAGCACGTTTTATCACACTGACAGTAGCAGGTTTATTGACACATTTGGTCAGATTTGATGAAATTGTCCCATGAGGTGCAGCTCGGTCTGTTTTTAGGATTATTCTCGGATTTGTCATTTTAAATGCACGTCAGAAAGAAATGGGAGAAATGTTTAAAACTAATCTGGATCCCAGAGATTCGTCTGGATGCAGCGACTGCGTTCCTGCTGGGTGACCCGAACTAGGGGTGGGCGATATAAACAATATAAATTTGGCCAACGATAGATTTTGACTATGCCGCTCTATCGTGATAGCGCATGTTGACGATGTCATCAAGCTGCGCCTGTTTCGGTCGAAAGCATCACAGCGGCTACAACCATTATCATCTGCAAATTATGGCGGGCGACAGTCACAGCAAAGAGATGAAGCACTTTTGAAATATGGGGAAAGCCAAAAACTGCGCTTCCTCCACTTCCGTAACATTGATTCATTAATGTTGAATTCTCTCACAGCTGTTCTGTTCCCATGTTGTTGCAGTATATTAATGACCAACCTCGTATTGTGGATGAATAATCTCAGTTGTTCTCCTGACTGAAGTTTGCCCCGTGTACAGCATCCTGCTATGCGATTACTGTACAGTAATGCCACTGTTTTGCACATGTCTCAACTCTGTATATTTTTATATATTTTATTTATTGTTGACTCTATTTAATTTGTAAAATATGTGTACACACACACACACACACACACACACACACACGTAGAAAAATATTTAGTATACACATCCAGAAATGCATATACTATTATATATTGTACATATATTTATTAGTTTCAGATGTAGCCATTCTTGTATTTTGCACAACTCTGTTGCTTGTGAAGCTCGCACACAAGAATTTCACTCACATGTGCTGTACCAATGTACCTGCACATGTGATGTGACAATAAAAGTGATTTGATTTGATTGCATTTGTCCCAAACCACCAGAATCCGTCACGTTAACTTTTATCGAGTGGAAGAAAAAGTTGGCGTTCATCCTCCAGCTTCACTGTGCTAATGTTGTGCTAACATAGCTGTGTCGCTAGCACAACATTATATACCAGGTAGTCCAACTTCAGTAACCCTGCAAACACCACTGCTGTTTAGTTTTCTGTCTTCATTTATGTTGGAAGTGGTAGCAGAGCTGTACGTTTTAATTAGTTTCAAAAATCTCTCAGTCAGAACATGGTATGAAATGTTTAGGTGGAAGCTAGCGAGCTAACTTCCTGTTAACTTCTAACTCCGTTAAATTTAATAACTTCTGTTTTCATGGATGCCTGGATGTTAAACTTAATTGTTACACCTGGTAAAGCAGCAACGCTGATGATTTAATTAAAGATGAAAGAATTTAGACCGTTTTTAACTCTTAGTGTTCGTTTGACTTTGGGACCTGAAACGGACGGAGTTTTGGACCCAGATTACTCCGTGAAGCTCCTCCCTACGGCAGCCGTAATGCTCTGACAATCCATCAAGCAGTGCTGCTTACCAAAGCTGTACTAAAACATTTTTAACAGATTTCTGCAGCCAAAATCTGTTCGAGGTCAGTAAGCACAACCAGAATTCATACATAAGGCACACTGTCGATTTTTGAGAAAATTAAAGGATTTTAAGTCCTTATAGTGTGGGAAATACATTATACAGAAGAAAAGAATATATCGCGATATATATCGTTACCGCACATGCTTCAAAATTATATTGCGATATGAATTTTAGGCCATATCGCCCAGCCCTAACCCGAACAAACCTAATGTGGGGCAAAGGGAATGTTTGTTAGGGACATGTCAGAGGTTAAAGGTCGTCTCATGTGTGTTGGCTGGATCTAGTTTGGATGGTGCTGAGTGTTATGGTGAAACTCCAGCCTAGGGTGAGTCCTGTATGTGGCCATGGTTGCAGGGTGTAAGCTAAGGCGGAGGCCGTTGGATGTTTCCTGTGCAAATGCCTAGAAAGGAACTGGTGTGATTTTTAGGCTTAGCAGATTATTGCCACAGCTTTTTGTTGCAACGTCTGTTGTGGGTTTTTTTTTTTTTTTTTTTTTTTTTTTTGCTAATCTTTAGAGAAAACGTGTCTGTGGTGGATTCCCGGCTGTCGGGCTGCTTTCACCTCTTGTGAAGGAATAAAGAGCACGAAGAAGAAGAAGAAGAAGCTGCTTGTGTTGGAGGCAGAGAGAAACTTTGTGGGTTGAATAAGCATCCACACGTAGGCTGTGTCACTGTGGAAATTCTAACAGGAACAGGAAGTCTGTGTTTCCCGGCACTTCTGGACATTCCACAGAGTGAGCGCTTTGATAGGAGCACCTCTTCAAGGCCAAAACACAAAGAGCGCAGTCATACCATCATATGTTATCTCATGGGAGTAGAGGCACGTAGGTCATGTAGTCCACACCTCCAAACATCCAGCTCGCTCCTCTTTTTGCTTTAGCTTTGCTCCTCTTCCTCACTTCTCTTCGGTTCATCTCCTTTGACTTATTGATGCACACAGACTCGGTCGGGCGGTGCAGGGTGACGCTTCGTGATGGAAGCTGAGCCGTGTTGTGCTCTCATGTGTCAGTCTCTGTACGCTCCTGCATTTCCTCGTTTCTCTGCAGTAACAGTTGAACCTGTTGTTTCTGCTGCTGCTCGGCGTAACCTTTAAATAAGCATGTTCATAACTGAGCCGCTGCAGTTTGGGGTTTGTTGCCATGTTTGGATCAGTGCGTCACACCTGCTGCCTTCGTCCCTGAGAAAAGGCTCTGACGCTGATCTTTGCTCAGCTTTTACACTTTCTGTATCGCTCACAGACTTCATCTCTTTTGCTTTTGTGCTCAGTTTGAGTTACAGCTTGAGTGCTGCAGGCCTCTAACCTCAGCAGCTGATTCATTCTTTTAGAGAAGTGGAGCAGCTCGGGCTGACTGATTTTCCCACACTTCAGACCTTTTGCGTCTTCTGATGTGTTTATAGCAAACAGCAAAAGGTCGAAGCTTCTGAACGTACACAGAGTTAGCACAACAAACAGGATTTCACCTTAAACACGTTTGCTCTGCTCGTCCTGTGAACACATCTTTTAATGACTCACACGCAGTCGACCTGCTGACGTTCTCCAGAAGATCCCAGTGATGTGAAAACATTTCTGAAGGATTATAAGGAATAAAAAGACAAAATAACCCTTAAATTAAAACAAGCAAGATCTGAATTTAACCATAAAATAAGTAGAAATGATGCAGGACGGCATCATTGAAATCGATACCAATGATCAGTTTTTTCTTCTAATACACTTAAACAACCACATGTATGTGAAACAAAAATGATCTGAAGGTCTTATACTGGGGGTTTTCCAGTATTTCCAAAACTATAAAATGCATCACAGAAAAAGAAGTTTAAAGAGAAGTAACAAGCGGAAGTAGCTAAATAAAGAAATCCTCAAATAAGTAGGCGTCTGCTGCACAGTCAGCAGAACTGATGCTGCACAGTCGTTTCTTTGCTCTGTTAACGAGTCGTCAGTTTGAACAGTTTCAGGTTCATGAACTCGTTTGTTTCTTCTGTCTTTTTCAAATATTATCAACAAACATTTTGTGTGTGTGTGTGTGTGTGTGTGTGTGTGTGTGTGTGTGTGTGTGTGTGTGTGTGTGTGTGTGTGTGTGTGTGTGTGTGTGTGTGTGTGTGTGTGTGTGTGTGTCAGGTACGCCTGCAGTCTGGTGTACTACGGGCTGACTCTGGGGGCCGGCGAGACGTCTGGTAGCCGTTACGTTAATGTGGCGATGTACGGCCTCGTGGAGCTGCCGGCATACCCACTCTGCATATACTTCATCAACAAACACTGGTGAGACAGACACACACACACACACACACACACACACACACACGACACTTGCTGTGTGATTTTTAACTGTGACCTGTGAAATATGTGAAGAGGATGGTTCCCGCCACACTCCTACCTTTGGTGTAACTGTAGCTGTGAGCCGGCGTCCTCGCTCAGCTGTAATGTGAGCTGCTGCTTTTACTTGATGGATGTAGACAGCAGTAAGAAAATAATTTTAAAAAGATCCTACATCAAACAGGGTCCTGTGTGGTAGCATGAGCCCTTGGTTCATAGAGGTCTTTTAGATCATGTTTAGCCTTTCACAGCGACCAGTTTGGCTTAGGAGACTTTATCAGGAGCTTCCAATGAAACAGGTCTGGGATCAGTCAGGCCCCAAACTAGAGATGGCACGATACCACTTTTTTATGTCCGATACCGATACCGATATCATAAATTTGGATATCTGCCGATACCGATATGAATCCGATATAGTGTTTTTTTTTAATCAACAAAACTGTTTTTTTTTTATATTTTCCTGCATTTTGTATAAGTTCATACTCAAGTTTAAAACAACAACTACACTAAAGCTATTCTGTTATACCTGTATGCAAAAAAAAAAATGTTTCATAGTTCAGCAATACTGATCAATCTAATAAACTTAAACCTACACCATCCTCCCTATTCTGGTATTTTAAAGAGTACTTAGCGTAAATATTAAGCAACCTAACTAATAGGGTTCCAACTCCCAGCAACAACAAAAATAAATAAATAAAAAATAGGGAACCACCCCTCACGCTCCACCTCATGATGCTTAATCGACGTAATCAACCTTAATTTGATGCAGTGTGAAAAAAAAATGCACAGAAATCAATTATTTTTCAAGAAATATTAAATAGATTCAACATCTTTCTTCAACAAAATTGCAGACTGCACAGATGGTACCTTCCCAAAGGAAAAAGTACTATAGCTTACTAGGGTGTATATATTAGACTCAATAGTCACTATATACAGTAATGGACTTCTATTCCTTTTACATCAAATTAAAACTTTGGCTGTCAGATAATTATTTATTAAAAGCTAGACATTTTAAATGAGAATAAGAAAGAAAAGTATGTCTTTGTGCCCCCTTTTCCCTGTTAATGCCCTATCAGCCCCCCTGGCTAAACTTTGCTAGATCCGCCCCTGCACAGTTACCAGCGTCAGCTACGTAGAAAAAGATCCTCGAGTAGAAATTAATATTAAATAAATTCTAACAACAGCTGATCAAGCTTAAACGTGCTGCTGTTGTTCAGCCGCTGGTTTCCTCTTTCTGGTGCAAAGTGGGCCAAAAGCAAACTAGAGACACGGACTCGCGACAGAAAAGCCGATCAGCTGATCGTTAAGCAGTTTCATGATTGAAGTAGCAGCAGAAGAGGCAGTCGCTTGTTAAGCTTAACGCAGGAATGCTTTACAAACATTCAGAGATGGACTTACACACTTGCTTTACTTCTCTCGGGGATAACTTTGTCGGAGATGAAATGCTGGGTTGCTAGCGAAGCTCCACATGCTATCCAGACCACCGACAGGTCCCGCATGCCACAGCCGCTCTATCACGTGATGCATACTGCTCCGACGTGCTAACGTTCTGAGGTGAGTTACGGCGTGTTGCAAGTTTTGTGAGGTGCTTTCGTGATATTTAATGGATCGGATCACATTTTTTATTTTTCTCCGATATCCGATCCAGTCATTTAGGTCAGTATCGGACCGACACGTAATATCTGATCGGTCCATCTCTACCCCAAACCCCTCGCAGCTCTCTAGGGTTCATACACCAGCGTGCCTGGTCAGAGAGTGAAGGTGGAGCTGTGGATTTACTGGCTGATCTACGATCCTGCCCTCAGCCGTGGCTGTGAGCTGTGGGTAGTGACCGACAGAACAAGACTGAGGATGCAAGCTTTAAATGAGCTTCTTCCACAGGGTGTGTGACTCAGCCACAGCAATACAGGGATGAGCTCTGAGCAACTCGTCCAAAAACAGCCTGTTTGGATTTTAAATTGTTAGTCAAACTTTTTGAAGCTGCGCTCGAACTTCTGTGGAGCCTGTGTGAAAAACCTCACTTTGCTTCCTGTTTTCTGTTGGTCTTCCTGCTGCTTACTCACTAACTCCTGCATGAATGTCTATCTCGTCCTGCAGGGCTGGGCGGAGGAAAAGCATGGCAAGCTTCCTGTGCCTGGCTGGCTCCGCCTGCCTCTGCACCACCTTCATTCCTGAAAATGCAGGTGAGGCTCTGATATTCGACGGCACTGCAGAGGAATATGTGCAGCTGCAGGAAGTAGTCGTCTTCAGACATGTTTGCACTGCTCACGTTGGGTAACACCTACCAAGGTGCAGCTCTGCCGGTGCATGTATGAAAGAGCCTTTGTCAGCCTGACAAATCAGTGACTTCACTCTGAAGTAAAGAGGAAGTGAGATGAAACCTGCGTCTGTAACATATTTCAGTCCAGTGGAAAAAAAACTGCAAAAGGCTTGTTTAGGTGTTAAACACTTGGCATAAAATACTGATTTCCATATGCATGGATAGAAGTGTCACAGTGTGTGATTGTTGTGTAAGCAGAACAGAATGATAGTTATGCCTCGCATAGTGCAAGACATGAAACCGGTTAAACCAGCACATCTTTGCACCTTTCTGCTGCCGGCTACACATGCTGTGTTTGGAATAGCGGGCGAACTGATGCACATTTCATCAGATAATAAACTGCTTGCATTCTTAAACATGAAGCAGATTTTATTGTAATATTTAATAAATTGTCTTGTGTGAATAATAAACCACACAGGTTGCATGAAAACTTTTTTGGTGCTGCAGATTTGTAGCCGTCAGTTTAAGGGTTCAGAGCTGCAGGTTTGTGACATCATTAAGCTCCTCGGGGAGGGAACGAGATGAGTTTTTGCTGTGAGGTGAACAATCAGAACAAGCTCTCAGTTTGAGTTTGTGTTGGCAGGAGCTTTGCTGAGTGTGACGTCGTTGGCGCTTGTGGGAAAACTGATGGTCAGCGCAGCGTTCAACATCGCCTACGTCTACACGTCCGAGCTCTACCCCACAGTCATCAGGTGAGCCGGGTGCATATTTACGTAGTTTCTGTTGGTCACATTCATAAAAACGTTGCTGTTAATGAGACCTGGGTGGGCGTTCAGTCGGCGTCCAGGAACAAAATATTGAGCCTTTTCTGCGTCGTCTCCTTTTCTGTATGTTGGGTCAAAGCTAACTGTAGCATCAACACAAGCTCAGAAACTTTTAGGAAACGTCTTGTCTTTTAATCTGAAACCGACGGGATTAAAGCTGCTGAGATGCCTCCAGAGTTTGTAAATGTCTCATTTCGGTTGAAGCCAGATTAAAAGCGTCACACTGGCACAGACCTTCAATTAAGTGATAATTCCTGTGTTTTCAAAGTCAGCGTGTCCTAAAGCTGTGCGCTCGGACTGATTTTAACGTGCACGGATTGTTTGTTTCAGGAACGCTGGGCTGGGAGTTTGTTCCATGTCCTGCAGAGTTGGAGGAATCCTGGCACCGTTCGTTCCTTCCATGGTAAGGCTGTGAGTGTGAGAGAGGTTAGGAGTAAATGCTCTGGAACAAGCCTGAGCCAGCAGCAGGAAGCACTCGATCTGATCTTCAGAGCCACTCAGCAGCTCTCAGGAACCAGCAGACGTTTAAATGTGAGTTTAAAATGCAAAACAGTGAAATATGTGAGCGTGACCTGTGACTGTGGGAGGCTGGTGTTTTCACATGAAGCTGTGAGCCTGAAAAGGCAGCAACCAGCTCCCCGTTTGCAGTGGTAACAGTATCACTTCCTTTTTCAGCATTTCCTGTTTGGAGCTGTTGTTGGCATGGAGATCAGATCATTAAAAACAGGGTTTAATAATAAAAAAGGAGGGAAAGTGATGATGAAGAAGGGCATCTGGTAGCTTGTAAATGTTGTTCTTTTAGGAGATTTTATTTTGAAATGTATTTTGTGCATCTTGGTATAAATATTTTAGCCGGTGTGTGCAGGGGCGAGAGGATGAGGCGCCGAGTCGCCCCGTTTGCTTCGTGCGGTTGCATTTATGCCTCATACATAGTAAAAGTATCAGCGAGGCCTGTGGGGGTTTCCGGCTCAGGTTTCTTAAAGTGTGAATCTTTGCATTCGACAGCTCAGCGGCTTCTTGCTAAAGTCTTGAGTTATTTATACTGGAGGGCGCGGTGAGCTGGGAGAACGGTTAGCCTGTCAGTGTTAGTGTGATGTCAGCCTGTGGTCAAACATCCATGCTTTCTGTACTCTGAAACGAAGCGGGGGAATTTTAAAAAGTGATAGACGGCGAAACCTCAAGTGTGCCAACATCCCCTCCACCAGCCCTGTCGTCTCTGTGGATGCAGCTCGTTTTTGTTAAAGGAAGGAAACAGTGTTTGTACTTCAACTTCAGAGGGAGTGTGCGCAGCGCCGCAGAGGCATTCAGTGTTCGCTGGCTGTTACGTCTCAATAAGTGAAGCATTTCCAAAGTGAAACCATCGAGACGCTGAGGGGAAAATCTGTTTGGTGGAGCTTTTAATGACTCACTGACTGCTGAAGTGTCGCCCTGACTACACCCTTCTGGGTGCGCGACGTCAGAGGCTAGAAATGCTGGAAAACGCAGCCGTGATCTTGGAAAGTCTGCTGGACTTATTGTCCTGCTGTGGTTTTGATCTGTGTTAGGCTGTTTCTGCAAAGTTATAAGGAAACGGAGTTCATGCAGCTCGTCTGAGTGACAAGGTCACACCTCATTCCAGGAAATCGTTTGCATTCACTGGCTGATGCAGTTTTACTAATGACCTCACCGATTCACACATTCCTGATTAATGTGTTGCAGGTTTTCCTGCCTGAAAGTTTATCCGTAATGATTTATCCGCCCTCGTGCACCGTCCTGCTGTCGTTAACCACAGGTCTGATTTATAAACACACGCTGTGCTTTGTGTACTTCGTACCTGCTGCGTTTCGCTTTCACACGAGTTAAATTTCTAACAGATCAAAGTGTGTAAACATATTAGTTTCACAGGGAAATAAAATCCTGTCAAACAGTCACATGTGACACATGAAAGTAGAAAATGACTGTTTCGGTTTCTTCTGTTAATGTGTCACACTGACCTTTGACCTCGTTTTGTCATGTGCTCCAAACCTAAATAAACAGTGACCTCTAGTGGTGATACAGGGAAGCTCAACGAACATGCGTTTACAGAAATCTCAGCTAAAAAGCTCTTAATGTTATTCTTTTAAAAATATATGTAATCTCCTGCAAGAACACAGTCTGCAACTTTCTGTCACAGCTGCAGTTTCCTGTTGCCGTGGCAGATAATTTACATTATTTTCATCTTATTTGCATTTCAAAAACAATTAAAAAACAAAATACCGAAGCTGTGAAAGCAAAGTCGACCGTGTCTTTTGAAGAGCCTTTCTTTCATAAAAGCACGATTGATAAACCTGAGTGTTGATCGCGTCCTCGTGGCAGTAGATATTCGGAGCCCGAGCGCGGGACCTTTAATCAAACGGCTCATCCAGGCTGTGGAGTTTATCTGAACGGATGAAGGTCGGCTTTTTACCCACAAACCTCAGCTTCTCATTCGTTAATGGTGTTTTACAGAGTGTGAAGGCAACACTCACAGACGCAGGAAAACCTGACCTCAGGAGGAGCAAACGATACGAGACGGATTACATTATGAAATGTTGGCACGAGGGGAAAAACGAGCGACTCTCATTGTTGTGGAAAAGGCTGGCGTGTTTTAAAAAATCTCCCATCGTTTTTCATGCTCACGAGATTTCTGCAGAAAGTATAGACCTGTGTCACTCGGTCTTATCCAGAGATTTGCTGAAGAAGAAGATTTTGCTCAACAAAGTAAAAACAAATATTTAGTTTCACAGTTGGATGTGATTTCATTTTCTCAGTAATCTTGTAGGAGGTCCGATTCCTTGGAGTGTTTTTGTAGGAACTGGAGACACGTTATTGAATCACATCTTAGTTATTGCTTTCTTACCTGCACTTTGTCCCCAATAAACATCACACAACTCCAAATGAGTCTGAGTGCAGACTTTATCTGTGCTGGCACATACAACATTATGTGACAGCAGGAATCTCTCCACAGGTCGAGGCGGAGTGCCACATCTGTCTAACCAGTCCTCCTCTTTTAGCTCTGATGCTGCTTTGCTTCTTTTTCAACCTTTTTATTAAAAAAACCCACTTTTTTTTATTTGATCCCCCAGCAGGACATAATTAAGGATCTTTTCAAACAATTTGCTCTTGATTTATGTTTTGATCTCACTCTTGGACCTTCTGATCAGTGTGTGTAAATATTCACTGTGTAAACACACGGGCTGAAGGGTTCAGACAGTAAAAGGTCCCGGTTGTGTGTCTGTGTGTGTCGCAGCGGGCCCTCCATACCTCCATGCCCTTCACCGTGTTCTGTCTGAGCGGCCTGTCGGCGGCCTGTTTGGGCCTCCTGCTGCCGGAGACCCTGAACAGACCAGCAGCAGAGACGCTGGAGGAGCTGGGCAGCCCGGGGCTCGGCCAAGTGCTGGAGAGCAAGGTGAGGCACCGCTGGGTGTTTGTGGGACGTTTCTGTTTCTACAGCCACAGCCGACGATCAAGTAACATAAAACCAGACGGTTCAGTCTGACAGATTTTGTTTTCTCGCTCATGTCCTTGTTTCCTCTCTGTCTGCAGCCTCTGTTGTATGAAGATGAAAGCTGTGCATCGACCCACAAATGAAGCCGGCGGCCTCGTCTTCATCGCTCAGAACCGCAAACTGTCCCGTTAATTAACGGTTTCTGAGCCGTCGTTCACTGCAGGAAGCGAAAACGCCGTCAGCTGACCTCGTAGGAAGACGCAGCGTCGCGGTCGATTCCTGAACGCTGCGGTGGCGAATTTAGAGACCGAGGACTGAGAGTCATGATCCGCTTTACATTCCAGATCCTGGGAATTTAACAAGAGGGACCAAAAACCTTTGACAGCTCCTGAAGCCCGACAGCATTTCCTCCAGTGACGTTTTTAGACTTCTGCTGCTTCAGGAGGAAATGTGTTAAAGACTCTCTGCACCAGAGGACACCAGCTTACAGTCACTACAGTTTACACATAATCAGATTATTTATGTCAGCTGTGATTTTCTTCCAGACAGGAACTATTATCATTATTTTCACTCTGATTTAACGTCAGGAAAAAGGTCTAAAAAAAACTAAGAAAGTCATGAAAGGTTTCTCTGTGGTCAGAAACGTCCACACGTGTCAGGCTCAGACGATCCATCAGCTTCTCTTACCTCGATTTATCAAACACAAATAAAAACCAGGCTGGTTTAATTTAACTACATAATCAAACTCACTTTTATTTACAGGTTTACAGAAACATTTTAATGGATTGAATAATGAAAAAGAACTAAGTGTAAATATATGAACTGAGCAGCTGGAGCTCAGCTTCCTGTTTTTCTACCACGACTCAGCCGAGCAGCGACTTCACTTTCAAAGGGTAAATTAGAAAGTTTGAGCAGCTCATGAGAAGCCTTGTTGGATCTGCTCGCCTCTTTCCAGACGTGACGAGAGCAGAAACCAAACTAAAGCTCGCATCTTTCCCATTGGCTGCCCCTTTCAACGTGTTTTAACTGGTTTGGGGTTTGATGGTGGACGATCTTCAGGCAGCTCAGTTTACTATGAATGGATTATATTCCCATCACTTTAATTCGCATTAATCATAATAGTTTTTATTATTAAGCCATTAAATGCAGAGCGTGGAATATGTAGAACAGGTCAGGGGAAGATGTTTGGTCCTGGACCAATCGTGTTTGAGTGTTCGACTGCACCCATGAATATCTGTGTGGGGACAGAAAATTTATGTTTATAGATTCATTAATAAACAAGGGAGAGAGGATGGAGCAGGAAGCCTGGTACGGGAACGACCCAGACGTTATTCCTTGTTCCCAAACAGCAGCTGATGGTGATCATGTGATCGTCTGTGGGCTTAGTGTTTTCATGTGTTTATCTAGGTAAAATCACCAGCTGTTTTTAACGTCAAGGACAGATGTTTTCCTTTTTTTCATTACTTAGTCATTTATCTGCTGATTTTTTTTACTTTTAAAGCGTCTGGGAGAGTCGGAAAAAACATCTCTCAGATGTGACGATGACGATGGTGAACCTAGAAAACCAGAAACAAGAAAAGTTGATGTCCTAAGAATCTGTTTTGTTTCCAGGTTTTAGATGATATGAAATGTTAAACGAGTGAAAAAGCAAAGCTGTACATTCGGTGTGAGGGACAATAAATTAAGGACAGGTTGCACACTGCAGTTCTGCAGCCTGGAGATCGGGCAGGAGCTGAAACCGGTCCTCAGATGTTTCCTCTGACGTTCAGGACTGTGAGGCCAGTTTGATGCAGTCGTTTTACAGTCTGCTTCGTTTCCTCTGTAACGTGAGAGACGCTGCCATTGGAGGAAAACTTGCAGCGATATGATCTATAAACATATTTAAAAAAAGGAAAGAAGCTCTGTGTTCTGCAAAGTTTCTTAAATGTGATTACTTCCTGTTTTTATTGATGTTGGTGTGTGTAACACACTCACGTCTGTATTCGTGCTGAAAGAGGCCGTCGGGGTCCTCTCCTTCAGCTGATGGTAATTAAATGAAAGTGTTCCAGCATTCCTCCTCCTCCTGCCGTGCCTTCGACTGCAGCCTTTTACTGTGAAAAAGCACTTTGGAAAGTGTTAAACATCATCTGCCTGCAGATGTTTGATTCCCTGCTGTAAGCACTGTGTGCACTCTGTACATAGACTGTATGCACAGAGATAAATGATGCTCATGAACTGTTCTCTCTGTGATAAAGACAGTAAACACTTGAAAACTTCCTCGTCTTGTTTTTTCACCGTGAGGCAGATAAACGATGATTATGTTTCACTCTGCAGTATAACTTCAGGTTCATTAGAAATGTTCTGGTTTGTGTCCTGATGCTGCTTTTCAGCAGAATTTATCCCCAGCAGGTCTTTAAAAACAGGACTGTTACAGGTCGGTTGGTGGATATCGACACTCGGGGCTGACCGAGGAGACCGGCTGTCACGTGACGCTGCTGGATGCTGCTTCAGAACGACCGTAAAGGGTTGCAAAGCTGTTTTAGGGCTCACTTCCTTGTTTCAAACGCCCACCAAAGGGAACCACAGATGGGACAAAACCAAAGACATCTGCACAGACCTGTCACTTCCGTGTTGATCTGTGAACATGGAGACATCGGCTGGTTTCTGGCTCCTCGCAGTGCTGCTGTTAGTCGGCTTCACTCAGGCCCAGACTGTGGAGAAGTACTTCAGGGTTGGTGAAACACTCCAGCTCAGCCCTCAGCCGGTCTCTGAACGGATCTACAGCGTCGTGTGGAAATACGGTAAATACCTGCTGGCTGAGTGGGTGAAAGACCAGATTCCTCTGACATATTACAGCAAGTTTAAAGGCCGAACCACTGTGAACACTGGCACGGGAGTGTTGGAGATCAGGAACATGACTGCAGCGGACAATGAGGTGTATACAGTGGAGATCAACAACCACGTCCAGAGTCGGGTTCATAAGATTATGGCGATCGAGGATGTGCCCCAGCCTGAGGTGGAAGTGAAGCCGCTGGCGTGTGGCTCAGCCTCAAAGGACTGTAAACTGGTGTGTGAGGGAGACGTTAGCAAAGCCGGGCCTGTGGAGTACTTCTGGAAGGAGGATGATGGAGAGTGGGCAACGTCTGGAAAGAACACCATGGAGATCATCAATGATGAGGAAACACAGCGTGTGGAAACTTTCTCCTGCAGAATAAAGAACCTGTTTAGTGAGAAAGAGAGCAACGCCTCCAACGTGTTCTACCAAATAAAACCAGCAAACAGTGACGATCTGCACTGTGGACTCTGGGTTACAACTTTAGGTGCTGTGATGAGATCTCTGGCGATCCTCGCACTCTTTGTGGTGGTTGTCTACTTTCTGTGTCAGAAACTACAGACTGGCTGTAAATGCAGAAAAAGTGATGATGATGCTGTTTAAAATGAACTGTCGCCTTTGACTTCCTGATGAAGAGTAAAGCACATCAGCTGTACTGAGAGGGAAGTTCATGTTTAGCTTTGTTAAACTGCTCTGCTGCATTTCTACAGTAAACATAATTTAGCATACAGTTATAGTCAGCCATGTTTGTAGTTTTCTTTGGTCTTCTCTGTCTTTATTTGTCCTTGTTTTGACCTTATTTTGGTAATCAGTTTTTTTCACTTCCTGTCTTTATCTATTTTTACTTTGTTCAGTTAGTTTTGCTTCTTTATTTCTGTGTATTTGTACTTCTTTATGTATTTCTCTTGGTATTAGTGTGTTTTCCCACATATGCCCGTCATTCCTGCCCTCTTATTTATCTGGTCAGGATTCCTGTGTTTTGCTTTAAGAACTAAAAACTCTGCTTTGGTTCATCATCCCTGTCTCACTGCTCCTGCATTTTAAACGCTGTGACGAGGCAGAAAAAGGTGGAAACATTCAGATGTTGTGTGCTCAACCTGCACGAGCGTCAGCTTTCGTCCCACAGACAGAGGTAGATATTATTCCAGCAGAGCTGAGATGACGATGATGATGGTGAAATGTTTTGTCCTGCAGTTGTGGCACATGTTGATTGTACAGTGGAGGCTTTGCTGCTCGGCTGGTGATCACACCGTCACATTATCTCTGTTATGTGAGCTGTTCTGTAATAAATGTGTTTACTTGTCTCTGTCACTGCGTGTGAAACTTCCAGACAAAGATTTTCATTCCTGAATCCTCACAGAGGTGGAAGCGCCAATATTAAGAGGCTTTTTTTATGTTTTGCTTTGTAAAGCTTGCCACCACGAGGGGGCATGCTGTCCCAGTGAAAGCATGACTGCTGACAAAGGTTACCAGTACACCCTCTGCACTGGTCCCTCTGCATGCCGCTGCAGCATCACCACACAGTCACTTCTGTTTATGCCAGTTGTTAAAGAGCAGGAAGCTGCTGCAGTATTCTGCTGATGATAGATGATACTGCCACAGCTCAGCTATCACACAGACTCCAGGTTTACAGCAGAGGCTCATTTATGACTGCGCAGCCTCTCTGAGTGAGTCCTGAGCTCCAGAATTCAGATCTCAGCCTCCCAGAGCCCAAAAAGCCTCTTCAGCTACCAACAAAACACTTCGTTCTCATATCAGAAACACTTTGATTTTCTCTCTGCAAACAGCGAAGCAGTTCAGATCAATGAGCTGGAGCTGCAGGAGGATCAATGTCTTTCATGCAATAACAAACTCTGTTGGACGTTGCCTGGACTGTGTGGGGTCTGAGGACCGAGACTCAGGCGTGTAGGATCTCTGATCTACAGAAGACCGAAAGAAAGACTCCATGAAAGTCGCTTTGTGCTCACATGCATGTTCCTGCTCTGCATTAAAATACCCGTTGTCTATTACTGAGGCGCAGAAACATGCAGGGCTCAGCTGTAAACATGTGAGGGTAGGACTCGGTGAAGTTTGCATTAACTCTCATACGCTAAACGTTCAAACTTCTCCTGTGTGTCTGTGCTGTGTATTCTGGAGATGCATACCACCTTAAAAGGCGGTCGCCTGAAAGTCACATCAGCATCTGAAATGTGTTAGTCACAGTTACAGAGTTCAGTTTATGCGCTCAGTGTTTCTCAACCTGCTGTGTCTGATAACTTTATTCATTTTATTCACTTCCTGTTTTACTCTGATGGTTAGTTTTCTGTCTCTGTCATGCGGCTTTACTTCATTTAGCTTTGAAAAACTGCTTACATCATCATTGTCCGCCATGTTTGTAGTTTTTTTTGGATCATTTCTTGTTTGTTTTTAAAGAGGTTTTGTGTCTTCTGTGTCTCTGTCAGTGGAAATACTTACTATAGAAAATATGACCAAGAGGAAGTAGATACACAGATTTACACACTGGAGAGACTCCAAGACTTCAGAGCCCCACAGGGGACATGGGAGAAAAAAAATTAAGACGGACTTTTGCGAGATCTCGCAAAAGTTTTGCGGGATCTCGCAAAACAAACTCGGGATCTCGCAAAAGTTTTAGCCGCATTCTTTGGCCTTCGACCTCCCGTTAGCTCGAAGCTAACGGGAGGTCGAGATCTACTACAGCCAGGAGGAACACCGCTTTCCCGGCACATCGTGCCTCGACCTCCCGGTCGGCTTCAAGCCGGCGTCCGAAGAATGCGGCTAAAACTTTTGCGAGATCTTGCAAAAGTTTTGCGAGATCCTAAGTTTGTTTTGCGAGATCTCGCAAAAGTCCGTCTTAATTTTTTTCCTCCCATGTCCCCTGTGGGGCTCCGTACAAGACAGATCCTCAGCGAATACTGGAAGTAACTGGAAATGACGGGAATTTGACTTTTTAAGCGAATGAGCCGAGTTTGGTACGAGAGATAAGATTTAAACCAGTTTAAGGGTGTGTCAATAATTCCACTTGAAGCTCGTCTGCTCTAAGATGTTATGAGATGTAGTTTCAAAGGCTGCACTCAGACCAAGCAGGTTAACAGACCCCAGCTGCACGTCACCCAAAATGGTTGGCCATTAAAATCAGGCTATTAGTCTTTCATTTGGGATAATTTAAGGGCGTCCCGCAGGCAACAAGCGCCGCCACCCAATCGGTGTGAGAAGCAGCTATGAGGAAGACAAATGTGCACCACCAACATGTGGATCCTGCAGGTGAAGAAGAAGAAAACTCTTTCCAGAGTTCTGCTGTAACCCATGGTTGTGACCAGCCATGGGGTCGTGACTCACTGGATGCAACCTGCCACCAACCAGCACAAACTGTGGTGTATTTGTGCTGCATCAGGGCGAAGCAGCTGACCGTCAAAGTCGTTCACATGGTTGTAAGCATCAGGAGGATTTTACTGACAAAATGTCAGCGTGTGACGCACTGGGATGAGAACATGCCAGTTCAGTGCGACCACACAGGGAACTGACTTCCTTTTCACAAATGGTTTCATGACAAGATTCACCGCACTCCCTGCAGGGAATCACTGCCAGCGCAGAAAAGAGGAAAAAGATCTCTGCCAATTTTTTTCTTTCACTTCTGTACCGATCTGAGAACATGAAGCCATCAGCTGGCTTTCTGCTGCTGGCAGTGCTGCTCTCAGCCGCAGTGAGGTTCGCTCAGGCCCGGATTATACACTCGTACTTCAAGCTTGGCGGCACGCTGGTCCTCAAACCTGCCTCGGTCTCTGCTCGCATCACCAGCGTCGTGTGGAAGTGGGACGGAGAACTGTTGGCCGAATGGGTGGAAGATGTGATTCCCCTGACATATTACGGCAGGTTTGGAGGCCGATCAGAGGTGAACACGAACACGGGAGTGTTGGAGATCAGGAACATGACTGCAGCTGACACTGGGGTGTATTCGGTGGAGATCAACAACCAGCCCCAGAGTCAGACTCATCAGGCCGTGAGGATCAGAGAAGTGCCCCAGCCTGAGGTCACGGTGAGGCCGCCGATGTGTGGCTCGAGTTTGGAGAACTGCACACTGAGCTGTGACGGAGACGTTAAAGAGGCCGAACCTGTCGAGTATTTCTGGAAGATCGGAGATGGAGAGTGGGAACAGTCGGGGAAAATCATGGAGATCATCAATTCTGAGGAAACACAGTGTGTGAAGATGTTTTCCTGCAGGATGAAGAACCCAGTGAGTGAGCGACGCAGCGAATCCATCACCAACCCGTTTCACCAGGACGGAAATCTGGACTACAGATGGTGGATCCTCACTCTTGTAGGCGCTGCCGTCCTGGCGGTGGTTGCGGTGTTTGTCTGCTTTTTGTTTCAGAAACTGTAAAAGAAAAACTGCTGACAGCGATGAAAATGCACTTTAAGTCCTGATGAAGACTGAAGTTCGTCAAAGGGCAGCTCATTCCTTTGCTTTGTAAAACTGTTCTGCACTTCAGACTGGTGCGGTCGTCCATGTTTGTAGTTCTTTTTTCTTTGGGATTTCTTTGCTTCACTGTCTACTTCGGTGTATTTATAGCTTTAAATGTATTTATCTACCCGTCATTCTTATTTTTATTTGATCTGTTTCTGTTTTCTTTGATTTCCTTGTAAGGTTGAACTCAAAGTAACATTAAAATCTTGTCTTGTTCAACATCTCTGGCTGCACTGTCTTACATTTGAAACTCTTTCCTGTTTTGTCACGGTCCCGGCCGTCTGGGTTTTCTTTCCTTCTCGCTGTCTGTTTTCTCTCAGGTCGAGCTGTGGGCCGGCTGTTCTCGCTGGGCGGAGCTTCAGTCTCATCTCCTGTCAGTGAGCAGTATTTAAAGTCAGCCTCTGTGGTGGTAATTGGCTCTTTTATGCCTTTACTGTGTGTTGGGGTCGTTCTTTGTTTGTGGCTGAAGGACCCAGCACCTGGTTGTTACCTGTCCACAGCCTGCACGCTCTCTGCTGCTTTCCTGCTCAGCAGCACCAGTCCACAGGTCAATGGAAGAAGATCAGACAGTCAAGCGAGACGTCAAAACAAACCTCTTCACCAAGGTCAGTGTAAAGCACTCGCCACTAACTCCTGTTTCCTGGCTGGCAGAGCTCCTGTAGTTACCTGTGTTGGTCTTTCCTACATATCCTGTAAATAAAGCTCTCAGACCTGCTGTCAGTGTGCAGGTTTGCTCTTTCCAGTCCAAGCACTGGTTTATTCAAACACTGCTGTGGGTTTTTGTATGAGCCAGACAAAGATGTTGAGCATCTGCTGAAGCTTCAGAGTTTCAGTCTGGCTCCATTTTTGTGACAGAGGTGGACGTTCTCTGCACAGAGCTGAGATTTAAACAGTTTAACATGTTAATCGTATGTTGGATGGTTTTCTGCTTGGACACAAATGACACACCACAGGGCATGTAAGGAGACGTAGGCGGGCTCTGACTGGACGCTGGATGAAAATGACCATTTTGAACTGGGCGCTGATTTCCTCGGGTTAAATGCTTCAACTTACAATATGAAGCGCCTGGTTATATAAATATAATACAACTGAATAAATGTCCACAGAACAGGTTGTACACTGACATGCACAGTGACATGAATAAAAAAGCGTTACATTTCGTTTCAAACGGGACTGCAGCAGAGACATTAATCAGCTCACAGCAAACTACGAGAAATGGGGCCGCTGACTGTGAGTGCAGAACGAAACCAGCTGCACGATCTGACATTAGGGTGAGGTTTTAAAGTCTGACCTGCAGAGCTGATTGCTGCAGATGCACTGAGATACTGTTAGCTGAATATTTCCCATAAGCAAATCAGAATTTGAGTGTTTACATGTTTCATGATCAAACTGTGACTTTTACTTTGTGGAAGTACAGCAGTGGAGTTCACCTGAGGAGACATTGCGACCTGTTCCAGTCCGGCTAAGATTCGAACTACAGACCTTGTTGCTATGATGTCACAGTGTTAAACCCAGCATACGCCAGTTCTCTCTGTGTTAGCTTCATTTTAATAGGAATGAATATAATTCTGCTCACTAAGAGTGTATTTTCTAGATAAACAGATTCTTTATTGATCCCATAAGTAAAGTTGTTGTGTTACAGCAGCATGATAAAGAATAAAAATAGTAGAGTCTACAGTAAGAGTCTTATACTGTGAGACAGAACAGCTGATCTCAGCCGAACCACCTGCACCTGGCTAAGCGAGTAAAGACGACTACTAACATATCAGGGTCTTAAAAGCAATCAAACAGAAGCAGCAGAGTAATCTGGGAGCTGTAGTTCTTTAAAGACCAAACAATGACATCCAGACGGCATCTGAAGAAATCACAAAGTGTGACGTCTGTGGATGTGAACACGCTGCTTCAATAGGGCCGACTTCCTTTTTCATTGCTTTCACCATAAGCTCACCACACTCACTGAAGGAAACCACAAAGTGTTCAAAAGAAGAAAAGCTTTAAGATCTCTGAAGAGAGACTTTTCTGTTTCTTCTGCACTGATCTGTGAACACGTCGGCTGCCTTTCAGCTCCTGGCACTGCTGCTCTCAGCTGCACTCGGCTTTGCTCTCTAAGCCGTATCTCACTAGGAGCACGAATGACGCCCAGCTGTGAGGTTACAGAGGTGCAGACTGTGCACCTCGCTGTCACTCAGTGGCACTGCTCGTCACCAGGCAAGGCAGGCAATGGCTTAAATCTTTAGACTGCAGCAGTTTGCAGTGACGATACTGGAGGGAAACATTAACTGTAAGGATTAGTAAGAAGCAAGTGAGGGCAGCTATGAAGAGGATGAAAAAACATGGAAACCTGTGCAGGTGCAGAGATGTCTAGAAAAGAGACTTTTTAACCGGACTGCTTAACACAATCCTGCAGAATGAGAGGATGCCTGAGCAATGGAGAAGAAGTGTACTGGTACTGACTGTCAAGAACAGTGATGAGCAGAGCAGAGAAACATGTGAAGGTGGAGCAGGACATGTACGAGGTGTGAACAATGCTCCCTCAAATTCTTCTTGTCTGAGCGAACACACAAACTCCCTGAGCGTAACCTGAACTCCAATAAAGCTCTGACTTGTATGATGAGTCTGAGTCTGGGAGAGAGTCTGTAACTCTCTGTCTGCAAAATACAGTAAATAATGACCAATGCTGGGAAATTAACTATATAGTTACTTCTTCAAAAAAGTAACTGAGTTATGCAAACAAAGTTTTTTGCAGCTGTTTACCTAAAAATGCAGCCAAGGCGTTTTTTTAAACAAACATTTCAAACTATTTACAGAACAATCAGCTGTTCTGCATCAAATCTGATGCCACACAAATTATTTGTGCCGCTCCAAAAAATTTCTGTCCACTATGAGATGAAGGAGAACAACAGCCTGATACCTGCAGGCCTGACAGCAGCAGATGTGTCACTGCTGTAACACCTGTAACACTCAGCAGTCGCCTCATTGTTCTGACACACAACAAAACTACACACTAACTACACACTAACTACATACTAACTACACACTAACTACACACTAACTACATACTAACTACACACTAACTACACACTAACTACACACTAACTACACACTAACTACACACGATTTGTGCTAAACGTCGCAAATCTCTCACATCTCAAAACACCGCCGTCACTCCTAAAACTTCCCCCTCCCTAAACAACTAAATGCCATGTTGCCATATCATTTTTTGATTGGTCCACATGGTACATTTTTCCACCAATAGGAAAGGCTGGAGGGGGGCTGTGTTTGTTCACAGGCGGAGTGATTTCGAGCGTTTTCCTTATAAAACGCCGTTTTTACCGTTTCTTCCTGCAGTAAATATAAACAACGACAGTATTCAGGAAGAAAACCAAACACTGCAGATATTTTATCATAACTCTGGTTTTACGTGGCCGATCAACACAGTTTAAAAACTGGTATAAAGTCCACACTGTTTCCGTCAATTGTTCCGTCTGTCCTGCTCACATCTCCAATGGTTGTACACGTTGTCATTAACGTGGCTTCACTCCGCATCAACACCGGTGTCGGCACATAAGGACGCTGTCACAGCCTGTCAACCACGTGGATTAGCTGTGTATAGAATGTGAATCCCATCATTGGCTGGACTGTGGGATAAGGCGGCATCGTTCTGATCCCATACTGGAGCAGCCAGTCACTCACTGACTAACACTGCAGAACAGAAATGTTAACGTATTAACATATTTAACATATTTGTGCTGCAACCACAGGATGTTCAAAAAGGAAACAGTTTTAAGACCTCTGAAACGTGGTTTTTGTCACTCCTGCACTGATCTGTGAACATGGAGACATCGGCTGGTTTCCGGCTCCTGGCTGTGCTGCTCTTGGCTGCATCCAGCTTCTCTCAGGCTCAGACTGTAGAGAAGTACTTCAAGGTTGGTGACACTGTGGTCCTCAACCCTCAACAGGTCTCTGGACCGATCTACAGCATCGTGTGGAAATACGATAAAAACCTGCTGGCTGAGTGGGAGAAAGGCTTGATTGATCTGACATATTACAGCAAGTTTAAAGTCGGAACCACTCTGAACACTGACACAGGAGTGTTGGAGATCAGGGACATGACTTTGGGGGACAATGGACTGTATTCAGTCCATTGTCCGCTCTTCATATTGTCGGAAGAAGAGTTAAAGCGAAGGACTGCTCATATAAAGCTCACATGTAAATCCTCATGTTTTGTTTGTACACGTGACAGTATTTTTTTCTTTTTCTGAAACATGCAGATCAAACTGAGGTAGAGCAGCTGTGTTATTTACCGCTTACATAAAATCCTCTGCAGGATGAACAGGTTAGTTTGCTGCACTGTGATAGACGCCCATTTTAATCTCTGGCTGTACCCACTTTCCTGTTTAGAGGTAAAGTCAGAAAAACAAGATATGTTTTATAATCCTTTTTTCTCTCTCCTCATGTTCTACTTAACCGGTTCATGCTCAGCTCCTTTATTAGAATTAAAATTTAGACTGAAATAAAAGTTGTATCTCGATCTCTGGGTGGCTCAGGTGGTCGTGCAGATCAGCTACTGATCGGAAGGTTGGTGGTTCGATCCTTGGCTCCCCCAGTCTGCATGCCAAATATCCTTGGACAAGATACTAACCCGAGCTGCCCTCCGATGCGTCCATCGGAGTGTGAATGTAGTTTAGGTTGTGGGTGAATGAGGCATGTTGTATAGAGCGCTTTGAGTACTCCAGGAGAGGAGAAAAGCGCTGTATAAGAATCAGTCCATTTACCATCTCTTAATATTATATTATTATTATAATTAATAGTTAACAGTTAGCTTTGCACAAAGATAGATGGTAGAAACGTCCAAAGAGCTACTTTTTACTTTAAGTACATTTCAGAGCCTGTACTTTTTAACTACTCGAGTAAAG